ATATTATATATATATTATACAGTATGTTAATATAGTTATATATATATATATATATATATATATATATATATATAAAACATATATAATAATATATATTATATACATTATACAGTATGTTAATATAGTTATATATATATTTACTGTATATATGTACTGTATAACTATATTAACTTATATAACTATATTACAATATAGTTATATAATAACTATATAACTATATTAACTTATACTGTAATACCTATATTAACATACTGTATAATATAGTTATAGAATGAACATACTATATATGTAAATAGTACTGTTACTGTCAGACTCGTAGTACTTTATTCAAAAAAAAAAAAAAAAGATAAAATAAAATAAAATAAATGGAAGAATATCAGAAGTAGTTTTATTATCCGAAAGAAAATTCCGTGGAAATTTCCAAAAATCATTAACGTTAATCTTTTAATAATAAATTATTGTTATATATCGTAAAATATTTCAAATAAAAATATTGTATAAATATAAGAACAATGTGATATCGAAAGATGATGTAAGATTTGAAAAAATAAAATTATAAATGATAAAACCTTAGCTTAATCGAAAGTTTTTATAATAACACGTCGAATATAAAAATCATTATATCCCTGTAATAATAATCATTGTAAACTTACACGGAACTTTATACTCGATTATCTTATAATATTTATAATCGAAAATAAAAACGTAAAATAAAGCTATTTACATGTGCATACAGAACAAATTTAATCTAATTTATCAGAGACCAATGGAAATCTGACGATTCTTAATTGTCGACCAAAATCACATACGACACTATCCTTCAAAGTTATCATTTGTTTAACAAACATACAACTTTCCTTATGACCCAATCTTACTTCACGAATTGGTTCGCCAGTTCTCACATCCCATACTACTAATGATCCCTAAAATATTTATTATCAAACCATGTATTATTATTATTATTATTATTATTATTATTATTATATATACATATATAGATGTTATTACAATAAAAACTTCATTTGTTACAAACCTGGCTACTGGCGATGAGTAAATGATGCGTTAACATAACTATTTGTAAGCTATAAGCTGCTTTGTGTGCAGGAAGAGCATGTAATAAATGACCTTGAAACCGTTCCCAAACACATAACTTTTCATCGGTTCCAATACTTATTACATACGATACTGAACATGTAATAGCTGCAACAGCACCATCGTGTGCTTGTATACTATACATACAAGTTCCTGAAAAATAATATTTTATTGATCATTTCTTAACTGGTGTTAACCTGCTTCAAGTTTGTTTAAAGGAAACTAGGGGTACAGTGAAAATAAAGAATCAATTAATAATAATAATAATTGATACTTTCTTGCTACTTATACTATTCTATGATATTATACAACTTACCTGTTAAAAGATCCCAGACACATAGTAAACCATCTTGAGATCCACTAGCACATGTCATGGGACTAATTCTGTCTACAAATAGACAAGATATTGGACCACAATGCCCATGAAGAGTATACAATGGTAATTGGTCTTCTAACCTGAAGAAAAGATATAATATAAAAATATTCAAAATACATTATACATAAATATACTGTATTAAACATACCTGTATACTTTCAGAGTGTGATCTTGACTACCTGTTAAGACACGACCTCCTTCACAATCTAAAACTGTTATAGCTTGTTGATGTGCTCTATGTGAACCTATTTTTACACAACGAATGATATTATTGATATCCATAGGTGATCCAGCGCTACCAGTACGAACATGTGCTGTAATATATTAATTAATAAGTAAAAAAAACAAATTGCATGTAATAAATAATTACTTGTTTTATACATACTTCTTCTGTAAGATGTAAATCCCCAATCAATTTGTTGTCCTTCGCTATAACTTTCAAGTTGTAAGAAATCTATGGAACCATTTAACTTAGCGGCAACTACTCTGCTACCAATAAGTTTAATCGCAGAAATTCCAACGCCAGATTCATCATCAAACAAACACTACAATGGTATTCAAAATTATGATAATTATATATACAGTGTGTATATAAAAATGTATCATTTTGATAACTTACTTTAAATCTTCCAGTTGTACCTTCCCAAAATTCTAAACTACCATTAGAGCATCCTACGACAATTAAATTTTCTTGATAATCCATGCACCAAATTGGTGAAATACCTTGTGATATTTGCAATGGTTTTTCTGCGTTTAACAGAATAGCACCAGTTACCGAAGTATTTGATTTTCTACATGCACTTAATTCATCCTGATTTTCAGATGTTTGCATTTCTTCTATGGTTCTATTATGTTCAACTAAAAGATTTTTATATTTATCACCAAAATCATAACCTTGATCATAATTCATTTGTACAAAGGATTGTTTCATAGAAGAAAATTTAGTATTAATTGTATGTTTTAAATCAGGTAAATTATAAGCATTATCAAAATTTCTACGCAAACATTTATGTTTTTCAGTATTTAATTCATTTATTTGATAATCATTATCCAAATTATTGCCCATTGAATGTCTTTTGTTAATATTTCCATAATTTCCTCGTTGATTATAGCAAGGCCCTGGTGATGATTGTCTATGATACATTGATGGTTGTGGTGCTGAGTATAAATGTGAATTGTTATTATCTATCTCACCCCTGGATGGTGGTGAACCACTTCCATAATCAGACATAAGTTCTTCCGTATCTTGTGTTCCTTGATTTGTATTTTTTTGAGATGTACCAAAGAATTGCATTCTGTCAATATGAGCAATCTGATCACCAGAAATAGAATCCCATACTCTTATATGTCCAGCTAAACAAGTGCTTGCAATGGTATTGCCATCTGTAGCAATACATTCGACTTCTTGCGTATGACCTTCTAGAACTAAGGGCACTGCTTCTAAAACTAGTTGGGTAACTGAGTCATGTGTTTTCTCTTGTTGATGCCAACTAGCTCTCCATTCAGCATAATTTCTCGAGCAAATACAACGATATAAAACTACCATTGTATAAGCAACAACGATAACACTTATTAAACAAAGCAATGCTGTTAAAAATATTTCCATAGGACTCGATGGTACAAAAGGTGCATCTGTATTAAATCCACGTCCCTCAGATCTGGTTGGTATTTCCATATCTGGAAAATAATTGATATATTTTACTGGTAAGAACATTATGGAGTTCAATTTTCTAGACTGTATATTTCTATGTGATGTGTTGTACACACTTAAGTATCGACTAATCAAATGATAATATTCTGATATGCAATAAATGAAAAAATATCAAATAACGTCATACTGAACTAAAAATATTTGTGATATCGGATTGTCAAACGTCAATAAAATTTATTCAAAAATTACATCCTTGTATATACATATATATTATTTACTTTCAAATTATAAAACAAATGATTCATCTCTCTTGAATATTATCATTCAAGAAGGAAGTCAGTTAACAAACCTGAAAAATCCAAGGGGTCAAGAGCAGCTGTAGCAAAACTTTGCCATTGAAACTGTTGTACATCATTTGGATTACTGATTTGTCTAACCAATTGTGGACTAACTGCATGAGATAATTTAATTGTTGGTAGTATTGTTATTTGTTTACCAGATATAGACATATTATACATTGAAATAATTGAAGACCAATGATAAAGGGATAAACGATTCCAAGGTGGAAAATCTACGGATCTCAATTTGTTCAACTCATCTGTTACGTTATTAATCAGGTCATTCTAAAATAATACAAACTTTCAATAAAAACCTGTACATATGTAACATATAAAACATGATTTTAAAATAATGTTGAAACACTTACATTATCATTTATATGGTCTGGAGTAACAGTAGTATGTAATGTATGTATAGGTTTTATTTTATTTAGTCCAATATAATTATTTAACGTTTGTGGTCTATCTATAGTGTACCCATCAAGATCTGTTTCTGTTTTTAATGTATCACTCAAGTGAATAACATGTTCAATTATTCCAGAGTTATATATAATCATACTGATCCAAACTACCATCCATACCATAAATGCACGTTGAAATATACGTGTACGTGCCCAAAAATGAACCACTCGTAATCGTTTTGGTAGTTTTGTTAATGTATAAGTATTCTGTGTATTCGGAGCTATAACATTGGTTGGTCCATTGGTCAAACCATTCAATCTTGGATGAGATTTCGAACGAAATATATTAGGCTTTCTATTTGTCATCATAGTTGTTGTAAACTGTTGTTTTCGTGATGTTGGAATGTGTGGTAAATGAAATTTCGAACTTTCTCCAGAAAGTTCAGTACGTCTGGTATCAATTGCAAGAATTGTTGAGAAAAATACCATTTGAAGAAAGAAATCGCTTAATAATCCAACAATAGCAAAAATACAGAATTCTTGAATGGCAGGTACAAATGTAAACAATCCAATAGTTAATATAGTAACTTCTGTAAGTAAATTTTTAGTGATTGACCATCCTTCTTTAGACAAACCTTGAGCAACTCGAATTTTTACATCCAAATGGGCTGGAGTACTCACTACACTTTTTGTTAACACTAAGACATTTTCTAAACCAACGATTATCACCAAATATGGGAACACTTCCTTTCCACTTAAACTCAATGTTAAACCAAAAAAGAAGCACACACCGACGGTCATAGAAAGTGATGCTATCACTGTAAAACACGCACTAAATGCCATACCAATTTTAGATTTAATTAATTCTATTTTACGCACAGAAAAATATATGTAAAAGAACAATACTAAAAATGTCATCATTAAAGGAAAAAAATCACTATAGTTAAATTCTCCAGGATAAAAAATATGTAGTGCATCATCTGTCATGATATCTGTAATATTATCTTCAGATTGATGAAGACTATAGTAACTTTTTAATCGACGATTTAATCCTTTTATAAATCTAAAAACAAATATATCATGTTAGAAAGTTATTTTAATAGCTTTTTTTTTTTTATTATATTGAAATAATATTGTGTTTGATGTACTTACTCAATATCATATTCCTTTAAATAAATGGTTACCGAATATTGTAAGATTCTTTGTCTTACACGTACAGGATATCGTTTAATTCCAGTTTCCTTTAGATTCATACCAAACATTACTTCCGCTAAACTAATTTTACCTTTTTGTAAATTCTACAAACAAACAAAATTATAATAATTATATTAATTAACACTAGATATACCAGCAGACGACCAATTGACTCATTTTGACTAGTTAGGTCATTTCAATTCAAAATTTCTACTACATGTAACATTTGATTTTTGTAAATAATTTGTAAAATGTCTATAAATTGATTTATCTATTAAAATTATTATTGTTAAATATTTTTGATTAATTTTTAAGAGTAAATAAAGACTTGAAGCCTCGAAAAGCAATTCTTTTTTTCACACTAGTCATTTTGACTAGTGTGGTAGAAATAGTTATATTGAAAATGGTGGTATATCTAGTGTTAAGATAAATGAACAATTTTGAATTACTGATCATACCTGATATGAAAATATTGTTCCAATGAGATTAGTATCTTGTGAAAATAATTCAATACTTTGTTGCCATAAATTTGCTGGAGATAATACTAAACAATTATATTCTGGTAAAATTTCTGGTTTCTTTCCATTTCTCTTTTTAGCAGCTTCTATATGTAAACAAACTTGACCAAGTGTTTTTAACCTGCAAATATAATTGTAATAATAATAATAAGAAGAAGATCATTCACAGAATACTTTATTCAAATGAATACATGAAAAACTTACGTTTCTGGATGTTGATAATTTTGTATTATTTCCAAGAGATTAAATATTTCATACAAAGGTCCCCTAAAAGCGTCCATTAATGACAAATCTTCTGCCCATGGAACCACTCCAATTCTTAAAACAACTTGCTGAACATATAAAGCTGACTTTTCTGTAGCATTTGTAGATTCAATTGTACGATTAAGTATCATTCTTGGTGTATTTCCTGGCATTGGTAAGTTTACCAATGGATAACTGCAAAATTGAAAACAAATGTGATATTATTAATTAACATATTTAATACTATTATGAAAGAAAAGTAAAATGTACAATAAAACAATAAAACAATAAAATATATGACATACCAAAAAAGCAATATAATTGATATTGCCAAAGAGATAACCGGTATGGGATGTGAAGAACAGAATAGGCCATGGGCATAATACAGCCCTGCCACTCTATCTGGCAAATTACGGGACATTTCACCTCAAGTCTGTCCCATCAACATTTTTTTCTCCTATACTAAAGTATCGATCGTTTATAACCTGTTAACAAAATGAAATAACAATTAATAAATAAATAAAGTATATCGTGTAAGAGTGTACCTCTCAATCAAAATTACTTATGGAAATAGCAGTATAGTCAGATATCTGTAAGAGAAGCATCATTGCTAGAATGACATCTAACGACCGAAAAAAAGGGGGGGGACAAAAAAATTGAATAAAAAAAAAAAAAGAAAAACAAAAAAAACATCCAAGAGAAAAGGAATTAGAATAACAAGTGTACCACGTGTTTTTCTTCGGCTATCAATGACATTACGCAATTGAAATATCCTCGAAAGCTTATTTTTGGTACGACTGATGATTCAACGCGCATATTATATATTACTTTTTCAAATTTGCGTATATCTTCTTTTTCAATTGCCCCGTTCTTCGGACTTTAAGCGACCATAGCACCGCAAATGATGCAACACGCAAAAGATAGAGGGAAGTAGAAAGAGAGAGAGAGAGATAGAGGTTAGATCAAACGGAGTAAGAGAGAAAGATGCCAAATGAGTGACTAGTAACAAGTGAAATATATCGATACCATCCATAAGACTCACTACACATGCGTACGCCTTATTGCTATCTTTTTTCTTTTAATTTTTTTATTATTTTTTTTTTGCTATTCTATTCCTTGCTCACTCACTCCCCTTCAAATTTCTCACTACTTCTCACTCACACTATTTTTCTGTACAATTTGAGATATATATATATATATATTAAATAATAATATGCGAACATAACCTTTACTTTAATTGATGTCATTCGAAAGATTCACGAAATATCGGTCCTCGTTGTTTGTTCTCTTCCTAACCCCCTTTTACACACACTCGATGAATCACTTTGATATTTCAACGTATATTATTTCAAATTAATGTCTCTTCGATGATTTGAGGATATTACGTATGAAATTGTTGTTGTTTTTATATTTTTCCCTCTTCTTTTGTTTTTTTTTCTTTCTTTCTTCTATCGCGCGATAAAAAGTACAGAGAGAAAGAGAAAAAAAATAAGATTGATTTTTGAGGTTATGTAGTTGATTCCGCGTACACGTTTAGAATACGTGAGTCTTTTGGTTATGAACACACGTTAGTAACAACGACGACGACGACGACGACGACAATCGTTGGTGGTTTCGATCGATCTTGAAGAATGAAAGTCGCGCATACGCAAATCGATCTATCTATCTAATTTACGCACGTGTTTACAATTTTCACGTCATCCTTGTTTTCTTCGTTTCTTGTCATCAAATTATATCTCACTTTTGATTCTTATTATTTTACGCGTGCGCCGTCTCGTAATTATAACATACGGAGTTATATTATCTTTTTTTTACAAATAAATTTTGCTACTGTTGTTGCTAATGCTATTGCTGTTACAGTTGTGTGTTGTTTACTTGAATATAAAACGATCAAAAGTTATGTATTTTGTTAAACTTTTAAACGATCTTTATAACACGACGACAAGAATGGTGTACGAAACTAAGGTATAAAATTGTTCGAGTGCACTGCCCGATTGAATTTAATCCGCTTGACACGGCGCAAAAAGAAAGAAAGAGAGAGAGAGAGAGAGAGTAACGTAGTAGATTAATTTATTTTTAAACGTCTAGGACGAGCCTCCGTTTAAATAGCCAATCACAAGTGACCGGTGCCAGCTACATTACCCCTTCCACAATGTTACCGCTATTCTTCCCTCGTGTCTTTACACGTGGTGAAAATAGATGAAAATAAATATTATGTCATGTGATCTTGTTACAAAATACAATTTCTTTTCTTTTTTTGTTTTTTTTTTTTTTTTTCAACAAAAGTATACAAATTTTTTACAATCATTGAGATTTGTAACAGGATCCATCACGTGATGCACGATCCTTTTTTTGTTTTTTAAATGATATTTATTTTTTAGATAAAAAAAAATTCTCATAATATAAGAATAAGGTTAACTCCCTCCCCTCCAGGGGGGGACCATCATTATTTTTCGTGACCACCATCTCACTACTAATCGTACATACAATACCATCATGACAAATAATACCATGGGTGTATGTGTGTGTAGAATTTCTCTTTCGTTGTCATCCCCCTCCTCTTTTCTACATTCATCATATACTAAATTAGTAGCAAGGGTGACAAAAGTCACTATGTGACCATCCCCCACTTTAGCGACCACCTATCCATACGTCATCATGACGTCACATCCTATTACAGGAAAATTATTTGTAATAAAATTAATTTTTATATTTTTTCGCTAGACCGGCTAGACTTGGATCCTACGATAACCAACCACCACTGTTGTTAAGCCGGTGATTCTAACATTGAGTCATCGTCCATTTTATTTACGGTGAAAATTCAAAAATCTTTTTTTTTGTTTTAAACATGTTGAGCGAGCGCCACGCAAATTCTTACGGAAATCTTCGTGAGGCCACGCACGAGGTCGTATACGTAAACGAAACAGTTGATCGTCAGGCATGTGTGCCTGACACGGCCTGTACGGGAGTTGATCGTCAGGCACGGACGCCTGACAACGGCCTGGAACCGAAGTTCAGTGTCAGTCACTTATGACTGACGTGTCACTCTCAACATGTTAAAATGTATAATAAAGCCTTTATATATAAAATTAATTAAAATAAAAATAATTTTGCACCCGGTTGGATTCGATCCGACGATCTACTAAAAAAGTCCTCAAAGTGGAAGGCGAGCACTTAGTCCACTAAGCTATTACAGGTTTAACTTTGAATGCGATTTTGAATGTATTTATATTGGCACAAGAACTTACATTATATTTTACAGAACTATAAAATCTGATCAATTGAATAATAAAGTTATCAATTCAATTGATATTGGCTTTTTCGTAGATAATTATATTGCTGACATCTTTGGTGTAATTCGATTCAGCCGATCTGTAAAGTCTCAAGCAAGTTCTCAAGCATCGTTTTTCAAAAACTTCAAATTTTTCCATTATACTAGCTCAAATGTTATACCATATCTCGCAACCATAAGTTAAAATAGGCTTTATGAGGCTTAGATAACAGATAATTTTCGCTTTAGCTGATAACGCTAGTGAATGAAAAAGTCTCGCACATAAAACATACGCGATTTTAGCTTTTTAAAGTTGCAATAGAGGGTGAACATTCTAGTAAGAATCTCTCGTCTATATAATAACTCTAGATATTTGATAGCTTTTTTATATGGGATCTTTTTGCTTGCAGATGGGTCAAAATTTATGTAAAATGATTTAATAGTTATTAGTAATTTTATACGAAGATATTTGCGTCAACGGTCTAAATAATATTGTTTCGCACTTATCAATGTTTACTTTTCATTTTCACGCTGAATAATAAGCGCAGATACTATCAATCGCTTATTGCAACTCCACTTGAACCTTTCTCGGATCCTTTCAAGCTTTATAAACTATTAGATCATCAGCAAATGCAATCAACGAGCATCCGGTTTTGTGGGGATCAAATAATTGTAATATATCGTCATTGTAGATATTAAAAAGTACCAAAGAATTTCTAGTACCTTGTTGTACCACCATTTTTAATTACGCATTCGTTTGATTCCTGATCTCCAATCATTATACGGAATGATCTATTACTAATCATACTGATTATTAATTTGATCACAATCAAGGGAATGTTTTTCTTTCTTAATTTATGTATAAGGCCATTGATCTATACAGTGTCAAATGCTTTCTCCAGATCGACCAGACAGGCACCAATACACTTGCCCCCATTAAGAGCCCAGTTAACATCAGAAGACAATTTATTAATAGCATGCAAAGTAGAGTGACGTACTTTGTTCACAGAGCTATCATGAATATTTATTGTAACTCTTAACAACTATGCATTTATGTATTAAAATTAATTACAAAATAATTTAGATTATTTACCTAAGATACCAACTGTATAATTAACCAAACTTACCTTGAGGTTGCTTAACTTTGCAATTTTGTGTGTGTGTACGTATGATGAGATTTGTTATTTAGGAATTGGTTTTACATGCTAAACATTATTTCAACAAATTATTTGACTTAATTTAAGTTTACTGTAATTGTCTTAATTTCTTATAGAAGGTTTCTTTTACAATACTTTAATGTGAATTTGATTTTTAAGATAGATAAGTTTCAATTTATATAAAAAATCAATTGCCAAATGTAGTAAGTTGTTCTTAAGCTGCTGATGTGTCTTGTGCTGATAATCCATTGGAAATTTTATGATTGTCTTTTTAATACCAAAAAGTAAGAAAGTACTCAGATATGATGAGAATCGGATATATTTTCTAATCTGTTTCAATAGCATGACGTGTACCTGTAATAACAATATAAAACATACATGAAATGCATAAAAGTGTTATATATATTATTCGTTAATTAACATTATGTAAAATGTATGTTATACATTTATTTATTTTTCTGACGATGCCTCAAGTTTCCTTATTGTCGTTTTTGTTGTTGATATTAATTTGAATAAATGATTATTGCATAATCAAAGACGTCATTGTTTGATTGACATTAATAAGAATAATAGGAATGCGTAAGCAAAAGAACTGATAAATGATTGAAATTTATAAAATACAAATGCAGCGTTAACTATAGTATACTATAAGAAACGACGGGACTAAAGTAACCTTATACATAATATCCCTAAATTATTAATAAAAAAAAAAAAATTGCAAAATAAATTACTCTATATTTTAAGTCATAGAAAATGAATTAAAATAAATATAATTTTTGTTTTGATCTGTAAAGTAGTTTCGATGTTGATCGCGGATAAACAGTTATAACTAAAAAACATAATATAATTTCATCTTATGTCTATTTTTCATAAACTGTTATTATAAAAAACAATAATTTCTAAAATTTAAAATTAGAAATAAAATTATATAATATTAAAAAAATATATATATATATATATTTATGTAACGTAATAATATAGTAATATAACAATAGTAATATATACAGTATTGTATAATATATATAATATATATAATATATTGTATATTATACAGTATATTATATTATACAATATTATACAGTATTATACAGTATATAGTATATTTTTCAGTATTGTATAATATATATAATATATATATATATATTGGAAGTTATTATTATTTGGACGTTTAAGTTTTCTCATAAACATGTTCCTGTATAAAGAATTATTTTAATTTCCTTTATCGTTCAACTTTTGTTATTCGATATTTTTTTTATCTGTATCGAAAAAATATTGAATTTCATACGAATTGTAAATAAATGAATTATAAGAATTATCAAAAATTCCACGAATAGACTTGTTAATAAGGTAATAATCATAATTTTGAAATATACGGCGACAAAAAGGTTATCTCAGATTATCATCGTAAACAGCCAAATGCGATTTTGAAAAAAATATATATATATATATATATATTTTTTTTTTTTTCATTTCATAACTATAATCGAAAAATTTCTTTTCTCTTATTTCACGTAATAATTTCTTATTGAAATAAAAAAAAAAATATATCTTTTTATTAACAATAATGTATAATTAAATAATATGAAAAACAAAATATGTTCGTATGTGGGCGTGATGAAAGACATGTTGGATGATAAAAAGGATGAATAAAAATAAAAGTTTAAAACTTTAGTGGATAACCGGAGAGAGAGAGAGAGAGAGAGAGAGCTTATCTTGAACCAAGCTTAACAGAAGAATACACTGTCGTTGCTCTTTTCTTTGTCACTCGTCTAGTTGGCTTTTGAACGCTCCATTATCCCGATGATTGATGTATCTAATTGCATCAATTGCGTAATAAATGGAAATTAGGCTGCTGTAATAATGGTCAATGCCGAGCAGGGGTCAAACGAGTGCGTCAACCGAAGGCGTCGATCAAAATGCATTTTGTTTTTAATCACAAAAAAGTTCTTGTCTCTGTTGTTCCTTAACTTTGATTATATAGTAAAATTACATTATTCTTTTATTATATGTTCATTTATGAAAGTCACCAATATATATATATATAACTAAATTTTATTACAGTATACAGTATACAGTATACGGTATACAGTATACGGTATACGGTATACAGTATACAGTATACATACAGTATATTGTATATACAGTATAATATAATATATTGTATACAGTATACATATAATATATTGTATACAGTATACAGTATACAGTATACGTACAATATATAATACAGTATATTGTACAGACAATACTGTATACAATATGGTATACCGTACAATACTGTATAGTATATGTACAGTATATATATATGTTTATTATTTATATTAATCTTACAAAATATTATAAATCTTATAAAATATTATAATCTATATAAATATTATAAATCTATTAGAATATATATGTAATATAGCTGATACGGTGTATATATATATATATATATATCACTGTATAAGAGAGGTTATAAAATTTTTTTCTTTTTTTTTTTTTAAAAGAACATAAAACGTGTCTTTATTAGTTAAACGCTGTCAAATATTTTTTTTCTACATACATATGTATATATATATAATGGCATAGTAATAAAATACGAAGATGTAAAACAATATTGATGAGAGACTAATAGGATATGACGTAATTATACTACGAAGAGAAAATAATTGTCATAAAATATTACATAATCTGTTAGAGGATAGTTTTATGTATTTATAAAAAATAAAACAAAAAAAAAAATAAAAAAAAAATAAAAAGAATAAGACATTATCTTTCAATATTGTTTTTATCTTTTCGTGACGTGGGAAAGA